TGTTGAAATGTGTGATAGTAATATTTGCGCATTGTATATCATATGTTTTTTTGCATAGTTTACAAGTGATCTTTTCTTTATTAGGTAGAACTTGAAGACATCCTGCACATTTTGACTCCATTGGTGGTCGTAGGTATTGTTGCTATCACAATTTCTGCAGGCACCTCACGTTTACCACAGGGCTATTGGAACTCAGTCAGTAGTTCCCGTAATTTATTTGTGGTATTTTGCTCACACAACTTTGTTTAATATGTAACAATGCTCAAAACAATTTCTTCTATAACAAAAACTATTGCAGGTTGCGGGGCTTGAACTCGAGACCGTAAGCTTATATCGATGGTAGGCGTCTTACGCCACTTGACTATCGAAGCTTAGATATTGGTTGCGAATTAAACGGTCTGGTGACAATATGTTGAGGTAATGAAGCGTGTGTCATTGACCCGTTCAAAGGTCAATACACTTGGACACAGAGACAAAGCAATTAGCAACGATCACTTTTTAAAATGTTATAATGTTTTTGTTTATATCTCTGGTAATAGTTTGTACACAGATCTGGTTTTTTCACTGTTTACTTAAAGTTTTGTTGCACACGTATTGACGTAACTTTTAAAACGAATTCTGCACTTTAGACTAACTTTTCGGAATTAAATGTTTACGAGCACAAAAAACACGTCCACTCAACTCAGCGTTCGGCGGCGCCCCTCTCATCCCCCTCTCATCTTAGCATTTCTGAAAGTGATTTTTCGTCTTTTATTATTTCTTTAAACCTATAGGTATCTAAATGTAATGAAAAATAACTTGATTTGATTAATATACCTAGTCATAAAAAGTATTATCATCAAAATCAGTATAAGCCTGTTTCCATCCACTTCTAGACATAAGCTTCTACAGTTACTGTGCCCATGCATATTATTAGATTTATGTATTAAAATTACTAGTTAAAGTAAGTAGTGTTAAGTGCACCCCTACCCACCCCTTTTGGTGGACAAAATGCGTAACATTAATTTACATAACAATCAAAAACGAAAATCCTTAAGCAACTACTTTAATAAAGAAATAATATAATAATCATGAGCAAGTAATCACGAAATAGAAGTATTCCAACTGAGTCAATAATTAATATTAACTAGCTTCTGTTAGTGGTTTTGCCATTATTCCTTGGATAAAAAGTCGTATTACTATATGTTATTCTACCTTTGTTCATTTTCATCTAAATCCATTCAGCAGTTTTTATATTTCAAGAAAGGGTAATAAACATACATCCATACAAACAAACTTATACATTTATTTTCAGTAAAAGCAGTATTTATTAATCTTACAAGGTACTACAGTTACAGGTATGCAACATACTTAATAAAAAATATAAAAAAGTAACATGAAAGTAGGTTTACTATAATATAAGTACTTTCACCATTACTAATTATATTTAGATACACTAATTAGAGTGACATACTGATCTAAAATGCGTTTAATTGTTCTGTTAACAACATATGTTTAATTCAAAATGTACCATTGTAAGTTTGTGTATCTGCATTGAATCTAGATGACATATACTTAAATACTTGCTATGTTTCCTTCTTCATATGTATATGTGTGACATGCATACTGATTACAAAAACTGTTACATGTGGTACTGTTAAGTATTTAGTTTTTATAGTTTTGTGTAAACTGACTAATGACTGAAATTAGAAACCAATTTTGTTCCAAAGTCTTTGGATGACTATTCACACATTGAAAGTCATGTCGAACAATAGTGTCTGATGCTAGCGGAGGATAAGTCTTCAAAAGTTTTTGTTTCCAGTCAAAGACTTAATTTTTGACATTATTTGCACAGAACTTCTGTTAATTAAATAAGTAAATGTAAATTTATGAGACCTGCAAGTAACACACACTTACATTTTCTTACAGCAGCCTGTAAAAGAGTAGGTGCAATATACCAACTACCACAACCCTTAAGAATAAATCTGACCTTTTTTAACTATTGATAAAATTACTAAACTTTTTTGATTGAGTTTTTTTGGTTATGTACACATAGAAAGCAGACAAGTTTCGAGTTTGAATAGAAGTACCAGTAAAAAGACAGCGAGTTAGGCCAGTATTATTATAATATATATATTTTTTTTATGTAATACATCGGTAAACGAGCAGACGGATTACCTGATGGTAAGTAATCAGCGCCGCCCATGGAGGAGTTACGAGTGCGTTGCCGACTTGTTAGGGATAAGGGATTTGGAGATTTAGGGATTGGGGGTGTGGAAGAATTGGGCTTCCGGTAACCTCACTCACACGGCGAAACACAACGTTGTGGTTGCTTCACGCCGGTTTTCTGTGAGGCCGTGGTATCACTTCGGTCAAGCGGACCTATTCGTGCCGAAGCATGGCTCTTCCACAATTAGCATGGCTCTCCCACAATTATTTTTAATTTAGTAGTAGATTTAAAATAAATTAATTTATCCTGTTTACTTCCTCTGACGCATCTGTCTATTACAGTAATGAGTTAATGAATTATGAACTGTGCAACAATTATTAAGGTAAACACCTATAAAATTTTTTATAATGTTACATCATGGAATATAACACAGTAGAAAACTACATTATACGGACAACAAATTAAGAATTTATGAACCAATTACTACATCATATTCATTTCTAATTGTGAACATAGTTTAAGAACGTAATTTGAATCGTATGGCACGTGCCCCATGTCATTGTTCATTCTGCAGAGTACTACATATCCCGTCAAACAAATAAATGTCGTACACACATCCTTACACACTAGACATACATATGCATGTACATAGTATCAAGTAACTACTGAGTGACATTACAAATGTCTCTATTGGTTTGGTCAAGGGCATGTATGTTATTGTTTACAAGTCTTGCATACCAAATTTTAAGGTCAGATTATTTTTTATAGGATAATAGGCCAATAGTTATATTAATGAAAGATTTTTGAAGTTAAGGTGGAATAAGCTTGATACAGGATTATTGTGCAAAGACAATTAAAAAACTAGATTAGATAAATTTAATAACACTTCATGAATACTGAACTTTTTTTCTACAGCTAAATATGTCAGGTGCAATATATTTTCTCTTGCATTTTAAGAAGTCTTAAGAAAATCAAAGAACTCATCATAAAGGAATTGAAACGAAATATTGAACATTAACCCTCTTTTACACAGCCAAAGACAATTCCAAATAAGTAATGAAAGCTGTTCTCAGAGTCACAGTATTGATTTTAATAACACTAGACACGCATTGACTAAATAAGCATTTGAAAGTCAACAAAACAATCCATATCTGTCTGCCGTCATTAGAGTTAGAAATTATGAAGATTTTTATAGATATGAACATGTATGTAAATGGGTGGCTATTTATAAAAATATTTCAAATGTGTAATGTTGAGAAGACAGTTAAATTAGGCTTCTTGTCACTTTAGTCTATTTTGTTATTTAGTAACAAATATCCATACAAAACCCACTAATTTTTGTAAAATAACACAGATTTATTGTAATCCCATAAAGACCTGTTCTTTACCAGGTTTCATAGAGTATGTTTCAGGACATTGCAAATGGATAATAAAAATTGCATTTTTATGCAACAAGTACAACAAGTTACTATCAATACAGAATACTTTTACCCAACTTTCACACCACTAATAGGTGTGGTGTGAACATTGCAGGTACTTGTGTGAGAATTTATGAACAATGTAAGGTACTTGATAGTGAAACTATGTTGATACTCCAAAGGCATGGGTAAACAAATAAACTGCTGATTACTGATTTGGAGTTAACAATTTCTAATTTACACTATAGTTAAAAACTTGAAGGGTTCTTGCATCTACCACTAGATTGTCTCTGCAACACCCAAAAGTAGACTGGTAGGGAATGGACGAGAACATAATATGTCTGCGTAATGTGCAATGTTTTTGAGCATAACGTAACAAATAAATAAGTATTTAACACAATCAGTGTGAAACATAGACTCTTCCATGCTACTCTATATTATATTTCAACTTAGAAAATGCAAAGTGTTGTATTTAAGTATAAAAAAATGTTGTTTTAAGTATTTTACATGCAATATTTTCTCATTCTTTAAACATTCCCTGGACTAATAAACAGCCATTCAGTTTTATATTTAACACTAGGTGACCCAGTAAACTTTGTCTGGGCTCAAATATAACTATTCCTTTTTTTGTCATATTTTCTGGCCTTTTTAACATTTCCTATATATCTAGAAATATTACAAGACCACAATAAGCCATGTTGGTCCAGACTATCTTGAGTTTTGGCAAAACTAATGAACAGCAAATCATTTTTATATATAAGATGTTTATGTTTATTATATTATTTATTATGTCCATATAATGTAATGACTGACTTAATATATCCCGAAGCATGAGTGTGTGATGCGTAGAGTCCATCAACACTTAAATTTATTAGAATATGGTTTTACCAAAACCCGTTTCCAATTAAAACACAAGGTTACACATTGCAAGATAAATACTTAAACATTAAAACATTCCATATCAAACATGTAAATTGAATATCTGAGGTATTTGACCATGAGAAAAATAAAAGATTAATTAATATCATAGCAGTCCAATTAAATTAACAGCTGCATTACAGTGAAAACATGAGATTTTGGTGATATTTGATTACATAGAGTTTTCCTCTCATAGGAGGTCTGTGTCACTTTCAATAAAAAACACGTCTAGTGACAGAGGAGGATGTTTGGTAGCTGTTTTGACAGGAAAAGTTGAAAACTATTATTATATGTCTGTTCCTAAGAAGTGTATGCAAAAGATATAAATATCGCAGAACAATCTCCTGTCGCAACAAAGCGGAACAAACCAACGAGTCTATCTATACTTCTATGTACAGAAGTAAATAAGAAACCTTGACATTCGACATTTATCTAACTATTGCAGAAATTCTACCAAATTAATTCATAGTAACTTTACTAACACTTATCTCAGGAAATAAAACTAATATACTCACTGCAAGGAAGAATCCTGAGTTGAAAATAGATAGTGCAGCCCGCAAAATAAACCACAAAAGTTACATGATACGCAATTCACACGGATTGTAGTATAAATGATCACTAAAGGTGCTTCTAAACTACACTTTAACTTTTAAAACAATGTTATCACGAGAACCATTTCCTTTTACAATCTTGTTTAACTCAAAACTTGCAAATTGGGATAAAAAACTTTTAATCGCGAAAAAAAGAATGCAATCTGCAAGCAATCCGTAGAGACAACCATGCATGAATGACAAGTAGTGATGTATCAAAATCGGACTCTACCATACAGATTGTACATATTATATCATTTTAGTAAATTGGTTTAGTCGACTATTTTTGCTGTCTATGTTGGAGTGTCTAGACAATCTTAGAAAGTATATGAATATGCCTCGGGCAAATGGTTTAAATTAGTTTTGATACACAGGGTTCGAAATTTGACAGATCGAGTCTCTGATAGAGTAGGTATATTGTTTTCTTATCGAAACGGAGTGTATTATGATAAGGTTTCTTTCTTGCGTTCGGGAAGGAAGAAACCTTATCGTAACCATAATCAGAAACATAGAGCCCAAAAACAAGAAACTACGTAATAATCACTACTGGAAGGTTGTAAGATACCATATTATTCTAAAATCATAATATTGTCTATTTTATATATTGTTTTAATAAATAACTACCAGGAAGGAACTAACTGGAATTACTGTTGGTTCCATAAATAATGAATATAATATACTTGTATTATTTGTCACAAAACTGTTAGGAACACTAACAGTTATCTCCTAAAATAAAAATATACTCTTTTTAACTTTATAATTGATTAGTTGATAGTCGATTATTAAATTTATTGCTAGAGAAAAAAATACCGTTTTTTAGGCAATAAACACATTTTTCCTGATTTTATTGTTGAAATTTAAAGAGAAAATAAGTATGTTCCTTTAATCAACCGTTTCATAGAGTAAAAAGCGGGGCTTATTTAAAATTATTATGTTTCATCAATTGTCCGGATTGTAATGTTAATAAAATAAATAAAATGATTGGGTCAAAGAATAATGCGACTGTTAGTTCTACTGCCGCCACTGTCGCTGGAGCTGACACTGATAATGAACTGAAATTACAATCTAACATTATTGCTGGCAAATCTCAATCTGCTCAAGCACCAGTAATTTCTCCTTTAGAATTCGAGAATTTTGTTCCATGGGTGTGTAAACAATGGTGTACTTCTACTGCTATTCTGATCACTCGAAAAACGCAAGGTATGTAAATGTAGGTACTCTAAACATGAAATTCTTAACTACTAGCTATTCTCGCGCGGTTTTACCAGCTGCTCGTCTTAATTTGATCGTACCGTGATGTTTTATAGCCTATTGCACTCAGGAACATTGTAGCTATCCATCAGTAAAATATTTTGGCAATGCGACTAGCGGTTCCAAAGATTACCCTCTGCGTACAAAGTAACAAATTTTACCTCTTTATAATATTAGTACTTAGGGAAGTGTAGATATAGATTTTCTAGTGGCAAATAGAAGTTTCCGAAAACTTTTTTAACGAGAAATAAAGCCGAGTATTGTCCGAATAGGTAGGTACCTATTTAGGTAGTTACTCGCCTTGGAACGTGCCACTGCCACCCGATTACGTATTAAGTTACAGAAAAAAGAGTAGAGCTAAGAAGCATACCATATCAAGCTTAGACGTATTGCCCCTGACTCTAAAATCGTCCCATTTACGGTTTTGACGGGATCTTCTTTACAGGACAAGAAAATCAGACGAGAAAATCAATTACTATCAAAGCAAAAAGTTTGGTTTTTGGCAATGGCTCCAAACCTAGAATAAATGACGAATTTTCATCTCTGGGCTGTGTACAAATTGAATCGAAAAAGAACTTGCTCGTGTTTAGTGAACAAGTGGTCCCGATTACAACTTATTATGACGCCAAAAAGCGACTTATAGAAATAGCCTTTCTCGAATGCAAAGTTCACTTGTCTAGGAAAATTATCCACGCCATAAGTCTCGCCGTACCTTACCATTCCACACTGACCCGTTTCACTTTCCGTAGAAGTAAATTGACTTGTGATATAATTTACGAAATAAGTAAATTGCTTCCTATTTCAAATATAACTGAAGTTTGCTTAGATGATTCTGAAGTAAAAGAAGGCAATTACTATGTTCTTCTCGAACAGTATTCTCAATTGAAATATTTGTCGCTTAATAGATGCAACATTAATGATGCAATTTGTAAGAAGATTTTCACAAATATTGATTTTGGCGCCCCAGCTGCTACTACCCTACAACTTTTGGATTTGGCATGTAACGAAATAACTGATGAAGGCGCCAAGTTTATAGGACAGGTGCTCAGATTAAATAGATGTTTGATGCATCTTAATTTGTCAGGAAATAGAATCACCGATGAGGGCTTTCGACCTATAATAGAATCTTTAATGGAATTTCCTTTAAAACCGGATGATATTATGACAATGAGACGCAGAAAAATTACACACATACAAAGTAAAATGAGTGTGTACTTAAGATGTCTTACGGATTTAAAGTATGGGAAAGGGCCAGAGCCACTAGAAGACCTGGACAACAGCACATGTGAGAGGAAAACGCTTACGAAGCGCTTACGCAAAAAAAGTAAAAAGACAACACTACACCAAAGTGCAGAAGATGTAGCTGATGTGATGACTCAAGGAATAGTAGGTGATTTTTATGATCCTTTCGCATCTGATAATTTGGTTTATAAAGACGATGTTGCCTACTGCATGGGGAATTTCATACTATGTTACTTAAATCTGGCTTATAACAATCTAGAATTTCCATCCGTTCAGAGAATCCGTCATGCCCTAGCCTATCAGGACGAGGTGACTAAGGTACGGAATGAGACTGGACTGATTAGAGTGGTATTAGATGGGAACTACATTCCACAAAATTGTGACGAGCTGGACGAAATCGATATATATTTAAAAAAGGCGATATTTTTGAGAAACCATACCAGAAAGACGAAAGTGTCATCTTCTACGAAACGGTTGTGTAGTTCCACAAAATGTTCCACTTCTTTTGAAGAAAAGATGTAGGTAGTGTTATAAAAAGTTAAAGCGATCTCTTCGTTGGGTTGGTTCGAATGACTTTAAGATTACCTACCAAGTTGGGCAAAATATAATTGGCCTACAAAACCTTTTGGTTCTACAAAACTTTTCAGTAATATAATCTTCGCCACTTCGCAGTCTAGGATAATACCTACCCAAAATAAGGCGACGAGTTCACTTCTTATTATCGATATGAGGTTAAGTAAAAAGTTTATGTTATCTTGTATTTAAGCAATTCTATTTTATGTTTAGGTTAACTTTCAAGAGATTGGAGCTATAAGTATTTTCGTTTACTTTTTAAGTGTATTTAGTTAATAACGGCTATTTACTAAGTATAGGTAGTTCGGTAAAAGGAAACATTGCTTATAAAGTGTAGAGATTTACTTCAATGGCATTGTTTAAAAAGTGATAAGTAATTAAAGTTTATTTAATAAAAGTCTTATATTATTTTGTACCTTGCCTTTTTACTCTCTTGGAATCGTAGGATCCTGGCTTTTAAGCTTAAGTATCGAAGCCTGTTTGACAATTGTATTGTAAGTCCCTCCAAAAATCCGGCAACGTCTATCCGATGCATGACAAGGGACACAAAACGGGCCTTTTTAGGGTCGGTGCCGAAGGGAAGTGATCAGCGGCGGCGACGCCATGGTGCGGAGCGAGATGAACTAGGAAGCCGTCTCCTCTTTCTGCAAAGCAGTTATGCTCGCAAAGAAGGAGGCTGAGTGCGTGAGAGAGTTATGCTCCTCTTTACACCTCAGCCGCCGCAGTAAACAATACTCCGGCCACCGTTAGCGCGGGTTTGCGATCGGCGAATAAGTGTATCTCCCCGACCGACTAAAACCAGACCCGAGCGTACGGCGCGTTACGTCCTGCGCGCCCCTCAAGAAGCTAATAGACCACCACAGACGGGGCCCTATTAGGTACTGATGTTTAGCCGGGGTTGAGGGGTAAGCGAAATGAGGCACCGCGGTCTCGGCCCACAGTAGGAGAAGGAACAGGGGTTTTTAGCAAGTAAAAGTCTGCCACTCCATCCCGCCCGATCCTGGACGGGAGAAGTCATATGACAACATTCCCTTCACTAGAATAAAGAAAGGGTAGGTACCGAAAAGTAATTCTTGGTCCATATACTTTTTTAAGATAAAAGTAGGTACCTTGGTAGTAGGTCGGCAAATAAGGTGACGGTAATAGAATATATGTATAATGCTGAAGCTTATTATTATGCCGCCATAGCACGATATCTGCAGTTTTTGTTACTTAATAACTTCTCTGAGATTATTTTATTTTATTCTATGGCTATTATTATATAAATGTTAAAATGTAAAGAAATTAATCAAACTGAACACGATCGTTGCTGAGTCATTTATTTCGATAATAGGTAGAAATTGTAACATCATAATAAGTAAGGTACATGTATTGTGTATTTACAATCAGTGTTGAAGGTAATATAAACTTATAACATAGTATGCCATCAATTAAAAACAACAAACACTAGTTTTGGTAACTTTCGATTTTAAAATCACAACTTTTCAATTTTTTTTTTGTAATTAAAATTGCATAAAATTCGGTGAACATCAAGCCACATAATCTTATGAATAACCTTATTCTAATAAATATTCCTTAAAATTAATATAAAAAATAATTACTTAGTCATAAAAGTCAGCACCAACTATCGTTTGTCAAAATTCGCGCTTAATACTGGCAGCCAATTTTTAGGAAATATTCCAATAATGGCCTCTTACAATAATAATTCGATGGAAATTATTTGCAGTTTATGCATAACATTCAGGTACGCTTATATACGTTTTTCTAGTCTTACAATGGTCATTAATTTCTAGGGGGGAGATATTCTCTGTTAGGTTTCTGTGCGGGTCTTCCCCTACTACCACCTCCATTAAAGCTAGGTCCACTAGGTCTACCTGATGGATATCCCTGACTGCTTGGCCCTGATCCAGGATAGGGTGTAGTAGAACCTGAGCCTGGGTACCCAGACCCACTTGGCCCGCTAGAAGGCCCTTGCGGACCAGAACCTGAACCAGGATAACCTGGATAGTTTCCAGACGGCCCTTGAGGACCTGACGGCCCTTGAGAACTAGGATAGCCGCCTGACGGACCTTGTGAACCTGGATAATTTCCAGTGGGCCCTTGAGATCCTGGGTACCCGCCTGATGGGCCTTGAGATCCTGGGTACCCGCCTGATGGACCTTGAGAACCAGGGTATGAACTGGTTGACTGTATACCAGGGTAAGGCGTAGATGGCCCCGAACCACCTTGGAAGTTTGACGGCCGTGAAGAGCCAGAACCTGGGTAAGACGATGGTCCTTGTGGTCCTCTACCACCTGGATAGGAAGATCCAGAGTAGTCGTTAAAGCTAGAGTAGTCATCCGAAGATCCTTTGATAGAATAGTCATAAAGCTTGGCATTCAATTCATACAGACCAGGAGCAGATTCACAGGAGAATTGATTCCACCATACACAGACGAAGTCTTCTTGAGAGAAGATGGTACCATTAGGACAGAGGAAATCATACGTTCTGTTATTTGAGCAAACGTGGAAAACTTGACAACGAGCGTCAACATCGGCATAGTATCCAGGAAGAGATTGATCTTTACAGCTGAATGAGGTTTGAGGGATATAGGATAAAATGGGGTAGTCTATATCAGGTTCGCCAGGAATAGCCGAATAGTCCCCACTTTCGTAATTGCCATTGTCACTATCTGAGAAAGTAGTGGTGCCAAAGTTGGTTCCAGATGGTCCAGAGTTGGAGCCGGGATAATTTTGACCTTGTCCGGGATATCTAGATCCTTGACCAGGGAACCCAGATGGGCCACGTGATCCTTGAGGGTAGGAGTTGTCAGATTGGCCCGGGAAATTGCCTGATGGTCCACTAGGTCCTTGACCAGGGTATGAAGAACCAGGGTATCCTGGTCTTTGACCTCCTGATCCTGGGTAATTTTGAGGTCCTGAGGGGTAGCCAGTAGTTGGTCCGCCAGGGCCGCTGAAGTCGTCGCTTTGTGGTCTTATGGGGTATGACGTTGTCGTGGTTCCCCCGGACCCTGGTGAAGTTCCAGGTCGGCTTGATGTCCCCTGACCAAACGGCCTGTTGGGTCTATTGTAGTCATATCCATTTTGGGCGGCAGCAAGGGCCAGTATCACTGGAAAACAGAAGATTTAATAATGTTTATTAGTGGATCAAGTGGATAATAATTTACTACAAGTAGGTAACACAGCTCTACAATACAAAACATAGTTTAATAAATACTAAGACATCTGTTACTAATTCACTAATACTGACAATTTGCTTGAACTTGATTAACTTTGATTGCCCAATCTTTAATCATTTAGCACGTAACATTTGCTCCAATTGAGAGTACCTACCTATTTACACCCTGAGGCCTAAGCAAGCACAATAGACAAGATGAGATCGCGTGGGACGAAACGGTGTGATATCGACGGAATTTCGCAATATGGCCGCTGCTAGATGGCGGGAAATAAACGTAACGTTTAGGAATTATTTCGGTAACTGTTTTTTTAGTAATTATGTTACAAATAGCAGATTGTTATCTATTTGTTTTCAAAATAACTATTTAGGTTACTATTCATCTCCGATGATCCGTTCGCTTTAAATGTGCGTCCTATACCTATTAAAACGACATATACCTATATTTATAAGTAGGTACCTGCCTACCCATTGCTTTAATGTCTATAAAAAAACACTTAAACGACTGAGACATTTTGTGCGGGTCTATATACGAAGGCTAAATGACAAGATAGCTGTGATATTTGAACTTAACTTTTACAAATATTTTTTGAAGCATATGTCTTCAGTCTGTTAAGCTGATATTTTGTAAACATGACTTGTTCACTCTTAATCCGATCATAAAAAATGTTAATTGTTGAGTACTGAAACCTATAAAAGCTTCTTATAAAAAAGTTGTGATCCCTCTCAAGAGATTTTTGTATTATATTGGTTTATATTTGTTGTCTTCATCTAGCCTGGTGGCAAGCGAAGATGTCACCTACGATGGAGCACGCCTTCCCATTACCAATCTATTAATTCGTGTCCTAAAGAGTTATAATTGGTTACCAGTCGGAGAACACAGACTGCAGCAAAGAATTCCACTCCTTAGCGGTTCAAGGCTAGGGGGAATCAAGTTATCAAATCAAAACTCTTCAAAATGTATCTACCAGATCTTTTTTCAAATGGAATAAACATATCTTTAAGAATACACAATGAAGTTGCTTAATCAAGTAATCATCTTGATTAAGTTCTTAGTGTAATTTAGATACATTATCTCATATCCGATCTATTAGCAAATTGCTTTTACATGGAAGTAATTGTAAAAAGTCCGTATGGATTGAGGAGCCACTTTCGATTTAAAAAGGAAGCTCGCCCCCTTATTTAGTAGGGAAGTAAATAATTTTGTAGACCGAATTCTGAAATTTGTAGTATAATATGTCTAAAGTTATGTAACTGTGAATGTGGCTCCTCAATCCAAACATCTGAATTGAGGAGCCACCTGAAACACGGAAAGTATTTCATGTATATTTTTGAAAATTTTGTATCATTTAGTAGCAATTGTGTACAGTGTCTACTAAAAATTTGAGCCCAGTATTGTTTATATTCAAGAATATACAATACTTTTAATGTGGCTCCTCGATCTATACACAAGAGCATGAATTGCCATGAAAGTTATTGGTCAATTTATATTCCACTCTAAAGACATTTAGTAGTAAGTGTGTTCGAATTTGTAGTATATGGACAAAGTAGTAGACTGAGCGAATTTAATAAATAAATGCATTTCATTTGGCTCCTCAATCGTGACGTCTGCATAATAAATAATTAACTGTACCTACCTGAGATCAAAACGGAATAAAATACCAGAGACACTAACATTTAGTATAAACGGTCTACTAAATATATATGCACAGATCAACATTGTATATGTTCGGTATCTGAAAAACAAATCACTTCTGAATATTCCTTACGAATTCGCTATTTAGGGTGACCATGTTATATGAATTAAACTAGGATGATTCATTTTTGAAATTTAATTTTTCGACAATATTCGGTACAAAGATTCTTCATAGGTTTAGGATATTTAGTATCTAGTCAATTTCGACATAAGTTAAAGAATGAATTAATATTGGTTGGTCGGTGCTTCTATGAATTTTACAGTGAGAATCATAGTCGTCATAACAAAACATCTCATCATTCGCTGGGTAGTGACATTTATAGTGACCCATTCCAGCTTCGCTAATCGCAGGGATAAATTCTATAACGCCTATTAAAGTATATAAGCTACTTGAAATCATTATAGTTTCTGGTACCTCGTTTACTCTAAACCTCGTAGAAACATTTAGTTCAAATGACACTGTTTTTGCTACATTATATTTACACACTGTTTGGTTATTTTCTTCTACAATACAAATTGCCTCTTCTAAACTTTGGATTCCAAAAACACAAATTTTATTCAGATTTAAAGGCAAAAAAGCGATCTGTCTAGATATTGGGGTAAATTCGCATGAATCATTAGTACACTTCTTATTCCAAATTGCACTAAAACAATACTTCAAAGCTATATGTTCAAAAATGAAGGACACATTGCAAGCAAATTCACAGCGGCTGTCTCTTCTATCAAAATACAGCACGCCGATTTCCGATCTCATTCTGTATATATCACAGTCACTAGAACCAGGATCTGATAAAAGTTTAATATATTGAGGAATTAAATCGTCAGAATATGTGTTTATTATTGCTTGAAAATTTCTACTTTGAATATATGCCACACATAAAAAATGCATGACTGAATCAAAGCAACACGTGTTTTGCAAACCCACTTTAGTGGAACTTTTGCCGATAGTTACAGCATCGCATAAATTGCCATTTTTTACAAATTTTATTTTTAATTTTGTTGATATCATATTAGTTTCTGCTTCACCTCTCCAATTTTCGACGAAGGAAGGACGATCAGAAAATATTGATTCAGTAGTAAATGACCGATTAATTTTCTTTGATCTTAAAGACTTTGATATTTTTCTTTTTTTCACCTCCGTTTGAGATTTTGTAAGTGAATGCTTCCTTTTTCGAGGGCGTTTAGTATCTTTATTCTGTGTATCATTAACAAGATCACTTGTAGCAAGTGCAATTTCTGTATTCAAGTAATTAGAATGTATTTTTACAAATTCATCAATTCGGTACTTTAGTAATTTTGTTTTGAAAAGCAATTGTTTCAAAGTTTTGAAGTAGCTCTCAATTCCTGACGATGATGGAGCAGAATTATCAATTTTGAAAAATGGACATAACAGATTAGACCACAATGGAAGTTTTCCAAGAATTCTTCTAAATTCAGGTATAAATGGTGGATAAAAATATAAATTTTTATTGATTTCTTTAATTTTCATTGATTTTTGTCGCAACTGAGCTATTTTATCATCCAACCAAACAAAAAAATCAATACCCGCAGTATGATATTCTTCAGTTTTGTAAATTAATTGGTCGTCATCCATACGGCTGAGTTTCACCGTATGATCTAAGTCAATATTTTTCAATCGCGCCATAAGCCTGCTTAAGGAGGTTTGACAATCGGAACTTGTACTGGTAGTCAAATCATCATCGTATTGACAAAGGCAAACCCTAATCATATCCAAGATGACTTCTTTTGCGATTTCAAAATCTTCACATTTTTTTTAAAAACATAATGCAGCGAATATAAAAATATTTTATGCGTGGATCTACATCATTAAAACATTTTAGGTTGTGCAAAGTTTTTATGAAATGACTAGAGTCCAGTCTGATAAAAGTAGAGGGGACGTCTGAAGTCTCTCCTTCTAAAATTGAAAATAGGTTCTTTATATACTCTTTTGTACTGCTAAACACCGTAAAAGCTTCAGTACTAGCGGCAACCAGGGCAGAAGAATCGTCAGAAATAATTTCGTGAGGTGTTCTATGAATTGAACGTTTCCATTGATTTAGCCAATATAATATAGATTGCTTGCCGTGTGCATCGGTGACCATTTGTAATACGGGCACAGATTTTAATTTAAGATTTCCTGTTATAAGACCTGCATACAGAAATAGTCTTTTGGTGATCTTTGTTCCATCAGCGAGGCGCATAGTTTGAAAAAATGAGCCAGTAGCGTCGATTGTAACAGTAACTCTTTCAAATTTCCGTAGATATTGATTATAATAATCAATTTGTTCTTCGCTCCAATAATAAACAAAGAAGTTAGGGTGTACGCTAAGACTGCGGATTATATTTTTATGTGTACTTTTCGCCATAGCCAATAAAGATATAATCGGATTAGAATCAAACCACTGTCCTTTCCGGACCTCAGATTTTATTTGACGTAAAGCAGCAAGAGAAGGCAACGCTGGTATACTTGAAACCTCATTTTCATCTTTTTTATCGCCTATGATTGTTGAGGCTAACTCATTATGAACTACTATTGCAGATTTGTACTTTAATATTTTTGCTAATTGTTGTCTTTTATAGGGCGTTAATTTAAATTTCTTTTTTGGGTTATGTTTGATATTTTTATCTATATTGGTAATTTTACAGAAAATTGTGTGTATTTTGTCTGTAGTTGCATAACTTTTTATCTGAACGCATGCCGTACACTGGGAACAATTACCTTTCACAAAGATTTTATTATTAACAACCTTTTCGCGCTTTAAGGTCCAAGTGCAAGGTAACTTTGTATATTTATAAATGTTTTCCTTCAACAAATTACTCCATTTGAACTTTGGCATTGTCCTGTATTTCTTATAGGTGTTAGTGCCTGTTCTTCTCTGGTATGCATATAGAGGCTGAATTTTTTTCCAGTCATACAAGTCCATTTCATATGAAAATGTTTTTGTTTCTTTTTGTTTACTGTTCTCTAAATCAAAATCGTTATCTTCAAATGATGCGTTTGTTAGACAACTGCTATTACTAGCACTTTTAATAGTATGGCTTTCACCAGTTGTCTGTTTCACAAGAAGTGAATCGTGATATTGAAAAAAAATGTGACGGTTGCGTTTCAATGATATAAACAAAGCTAATGGGGACATTTTAAAATTAAGTTCTTTAGAGATGGTTAAGAAAATTCGATCACTACTTTTAATGTTGGAATTTTGTAGTATCTCAGCATATTTAGTAAAAACTTGTTTTTGATCTTCAAGATCTACCTTTGATTTACGACCTTTCGGCATAATACTTCTGAAACAATGACATTCCTAACATAACTTATACTATTCTTTATAAAGTTAACTAATAATAATTGATACAATATAGGTACTTACATTCCCAACAGGAAATCAAAGTGAAGTTATCAGTCACTTATTATGCACTATTGCAGC